TGATGGACTGGGGCCGCGGCCGGGGCTGCGGCTGCTCCCGCTCCCCCATCCGCTGCCGGACTGGGCAAAGCCGTCCCGGCTGCGCTCCCGCGGAGCTGGCTGGAGGAATCCTGCGGGAGGAATCCTGCGCGAGGCCGCGGCGGCCTGGGGGCGGCCCCTGGCTCCTGCGCCTGCCTGCCCCGGCATCTCTCCTGGCATCCCCGGGCCGGTGCCGGGGTCTTCCCGCAGTCCCTGGGGATGGAGACCCCGTCGGAGCCGCCTTCTTCGCTTCAGCCCCGTGGGAGGCAGCAGGTCTCGGAGATGAGACAGGATGAGGAGGAAAAGACCCGCTCCCCTTTTCCTCCCCGACGTCGTTTCTGAAGGCAACCAAACTTGCCCCTCCTCCCCGGCTGGTTCCCCGCCGGAGCACATCCTTGCCCTGGCTGCCTCTCCTCCCGCCCAGAAGGTTAGGGCTTGAAACCTTCGGAGGGAGGCGGGCTCGGCCCTGCCAGGCCAGGGCTAGGCCCTGCCGACAGAAGCACTCAGGCAGGCCCTGGGGGCTCCCAGGCTGCGGTCAGCCGAGGGCATCCCCCTCCGCTTTCTGCACAAACCCACATGGTTACTAGGACTGTGCCCCCTCCGTGAAATCACACGGAAATGGCTGCTTCTTTTAAAAACGCTGGCCTGGTGGGAAAGTAAAAGAAAACCAGCCTAGCATCCCTTTGTGTGAAGTTCCAGGTCTGCTCCAGTTTCCAGAACGCACTGGCTTTAAGGAAACACAGATGACAACTCCGGCTTTCCACAGCGAGAGACTGCTGTGAGCTCTTCCCCACCTTGCTCGCTTGTGCCCGAGTCCACAATATTTCGTCAGTTCTGGGTGTAATTCAGACACGGCCAACCATATCACTGCCTTGTTTTTATTTACCATTTTAGTAATACATGAGAAAGCAACTTTAAAACAGAGTTCAAAATTTAGACAATGTATTGCAAATTTTACACTGCAGCAAATTTTAATTCCTTGCACAGCCTTATAACTAGTTAAAAGATCAGGAAGCAATGGTTACCTGTCTCTGGGGAAAGGGCCAAGTGTGTGGGGGAAACAGACAAAAACCCAACCCCTGTGGCTCCCTGCTGCCAGTCATAGTATTTAGAAGAGCTGAAGCAAGGGAGCAGGATCAGGCCTTTATACTGGCATCAGGAAATCTGCCTTCTCTTGCTTTGCAGCTGGGAACATGCAATTATGAATCCTGAAAGGAAATGCAGCAATTATCTGTGTGGTTTCTGTGAAATAAGGTCTTTTGAATAAGGAATCGGAGGAAAATTTTAACACAGTGGCCACTGCTTTTATTTCCACTTAATTTCTAGTGGAACTGATTTAAGAATGATCGTTACATTTAGGCCGCAATCAACCAGAAAGCGTTTCCTTTCTTGGCACCCCAGAGATTAAGATTCCTCAAAATCTAATGCAAAGAAGAACAAAGCAAACACGATTTAAAAGTTCATCACTTAGTCACAAAGCTCAGAGGCAGAGGAGAGGGCTGGATATACTTCCCATAAATGGACATCTTCAACATAAAGATTATACACACATTATTGACCTTTAAAACTGGCTACTAGCTTTACAGTAAAGTCAATAATGAAATAAACTGCCATAACATGCTATCCAATTAATCATTTATGTTTGTTTTCATTAGAGGGGCATTCGCCACAGACAGTTCATCCCAGAATTTAGGCATAGTAAACTTAAAATGAGCAGAAATTTGCCTATGGTGCTCCTGTAATTTTTTTTTCCCATAAAACAATTTATTAGAAACAATAACTAAGGTTTTCTGAAGGTGCCTATGGGAATTTGAAAGATTAACTAGGGAACTATAAACTGAATGATCTATTTTAATTGGATGAGACTGATGAAATGCAAATAAGAAAGAAATATGCCTTAAGTAAACTAGATATAAGCTGCTTAATGTCTAATAATTTTAAGATGTAGCAGTGGTATCCAAAAGAAAGCTGATTTTTATATTAGATTTTTTTAAAGTATATGATACGCGACTGACAGTGTCCCTTTGCAACGGTGTTGGGCTGTAAACCACAATAATTCATATTCACATGAACACACACGTTGTAAACTTGAAACATTGGAGATTTTTTTTAAAAAAAAGGAAGCACATGGTATAAAATGATAAAAAAGATTATGCTAATAAAAGCCAAATGGCAGCAGGAACAGCAGCAGCAGCAGCTAGAACTGCTGGATAAGGCGCCGGCGCTGTGAGGTCTTCCGCAGCAGTCGTCTGTAGTCATAGGGATTATCTTCGGTTTTACTCTCTTCCAGGGGGCTTTCTGCAACCCTCGACCTAAGGATTAAGCACAGAAGTGTTTCAGAAATTAAAGTCAAAACATTTACCTTGGCAAACACTCCTAATCGACTGCTTAACCTCCACCCTCGGGGGAGAAAATAAAAGGAGAAAGAAAAAAATTAACTGACTTTGCTAGGCCTCTTCCTGTGCTGCATAAAGCAGGCACCTCGGAATAAACACATTATATACTAAAAGCAGATGAACACAGAAGAACAACATGTTCTTCTATGAAGGGGACAAATAAGAGGACATGAAAACGTTGAGAACATAGGGGTGCTTTGCAATAGCGTTTGCTGATGGTTACTGAACCAGATTTTCAGCTGTCATAAATATGTTTGCTTTGTTTTTAACCTGCCTGTGGAGCTCACTCTAAGTGTCCATCTCATTTTTTTTTTTCTGAAGACAAGATGCATTTTGGAAGCAGAAATGGTCACCTGTCACCAGGTGTTACCATGGAGCAAGATTAAAAATAAAACTCACGTTATTTAAAAAGTATATTACTCTGAAATAATTACAAAAATCAGAGGGGTACCCCACCACTGGTACTACATCAGCGTTGAAGGTAAGTTGCCAAATAAAAAATACTCAGTGCTTCACTTCTGTAGATTGAAAAATGTCTGTATAGTCTTTAGATCCAGGTGACCCCATTCGAGATATACCTAAGTACAGAAATGTTTATTAATTGCATTCATCTGCCCTCAGAGGTAAGAGTGTAAATTTAAAAGTTACACAGATTTTTTTCACTATGGCTAATTAGGATGCAATCAGAACAGCACACAAAGGCAGGAAATTTCTTTTACTAAGCTCAGTGGCAAAATTCTCATTCATCTAAACCAGACCTCAGGTGACAGATTTGGTGTAATTAACCACCCTAGAAATGCAACATCTTCCAAGGGATGTAAACTATATGGTAATTCCCTAATATTATTATTTTAATTCCATGCCTTCACAACACCTTCCTAAAACTAATTTAGATCCTACCTGAAAAAAATGACAAAAATAAAATACCTAAGGGGCACAAAACGTTCTACAGACATTTTCTTTACTACTATGGACACATATTCAAATTCAGCGATCATCCCAAGCTTAGTGTTTTCCTTAAGCCTTTGATCGAGATATTTTCCAAGTTTTTCTTACATATATGAAGACATGAGAAGATACAGGTATATCAAGACATAAATATGTGTCTGCACATGCAGTGTGGGTGCATGGCACAAGGGAGAATATGAATTCCCTTAGCCCAGCAGAGGTCACCCTCCATGAAGTCTATGTGGGAAGAGAGGCGATTGAGCAAATCCTCCCTTTTGGGTTTTTCTCCTGGCTGTCCACCTTGGTGGAGTCCATCACAGGCTATAAGCACATATACTGCTACAGGACAGGGGAAAAGGAGGAAGTCAAGCTGGTGTCTTATCTGCAGAAAGCAGGCAGAAAGTCCGACATGCATTCACCCTATTTAAAACCTAACTGATCAGAAATACAATTTTTAGGTACTGCTTTAGCCTTATTTGATTTTAGATCAGAGATTTACAGTAGGATCTCATCTGGCACTTGGGAGGCCAAAAACTAGCAGGTAGGCTGAACACCAATCACACTAGCGTTTGTCCTGCTGCTGCATAAAGATGGGAAATTTTCAGCTATACATTTTACAGTTTAACTTGGCAAGATTCCATGAATAAAAAAATAGATTTATGTCTAATTTGAAAGTGTATCTTTTTATGAATCTTTTGAATATCTCAACAAGGATATACAACATTTATTTTTTCCTTTTATTGTTTTGTATGAATTACCTCTCAGTAGCTCTTAAAACTGAAGTCCTGCGCTCAGCTGGGTGTCTCCTCTTTCTTGCGGTAGAACTGCTGTCCCTTGAGGTGGAATCAGTAGATGAAATTTCTTGGTAGTAGATATCTAAATCTAGCACTTTGCTCAGACTGTCAATAAATAAGTACACTAAGTTAACAGTTTCACTTTTCAATATTATTTTCGACATTCAGAAAAAAGGCGAGCAAATATCATTATTGGTTGTGTTAATGTGTTGAGGATCTAAGGAAAAATATACATATATAAGCACAAGAAATCAGTCTCTGAAATGTGACTGCTCATAGTGAATGCAGATGCTAAGAAATCTGAAATGCTAAATACTTTCTATGTTCATAAAGCAGACATATATGACTGAAAAAAATTGGGTTTGCCATTATACTCAACAGAGAGGCATTTTTATGGTATAATTCATGTGACCTATTTTAGGTATCTCTGAGGAAGAGATGAATCATTTTCCTAAAGATGATTATTTTTTTATCTGAGTACAGAAAGAGAGTTCTAAAGAAACTAGTTCAGGTATCGGTGTCAATAATGCAGATGCCCCTTATTTTGTTAGATGAATGATATTCAGGGTATTATATCTACAGAAAAAAACCTTCCCAACATCCAGTTTAGAATGGCTGGGGAAAAAAAAATATCCTAAAAGCAACCTAAAAAAAGAAGTTCAGATTTTAATTCTCACATTGGTAGAAACCAGAAATAACTCATCATTTTCAGTTGCTATGTTCTACTAATACAGTTGGCACACGAAAGAAGATGCAGTTGTGGCACTGATTAACTAGATTTAAGATGACTGAAACCTGAGTCCAAAGGAGAGAAAACACAATTTATTTTTTTTTTTTCTGGCTAAATAGAAGACAATAGGTGTGACATTTTTTCAGGATCCAAATGACATCAGAAAAAGCTGTAATAGACTAGACATGGGGGATGTGGACATTAAGTGAATCCTTTAAGCAGTGTCATAATCAAGTGCAATTTAAACTGTGGCTGAATGAAGCCAGATGCTGTGAGCACATATTACATGTACATAATGTTATGAAACTTCCTTTAAGATACATATTTTAGCTACAGGGTTTGTATTCTGCAACCTCAGCTCAGGATAGTGCTAAGAGCCCTTTCATCTTGCTTCTCTGACCAGGCTACCATAGCATGCATGCTACGGTACCATAGCAATGTCACTGGGGGCAGCAAAAAATCTTCAGTATAGAAACACAAATAAAATAAAGCTATGACGTATGTTAGGAGCTGTGAACCAGGTCTACAGCACACGTAAGGATCTAAGATACAGAAGGGAAGAATGTATCTATTGCTTGCTTTATTTCTGCAGAGATCCATCAAAATAGGTTAGTTCCATTGTGAGGAAAAGATTTCTGGTCAAAATTTCAAGGGCTACTCTTCTTTATCTGTTATTAATAATTACTGGTTGTTTTGTTGTGGTTTTTTTTTTTTAATGATCTATTTCCAAACAGTCATATATTTTTAGGAGAGAATTTTAGCACACTTTGTACTTTTGCTAACAAAAAAGAACTGGTCGTTCATTTGTTTTGACTGGAATTTTAAGCACTTTCAATTATTTTCTGTGTCAGAACTATCTTTGATGTGGACCTTATCTTAACTTATTATTACGCGCATGTTGCCATGGTAAAGGGCCATGCTATAGTAAAACTGAATGAGTGAATTCTATAATGGATTTTTGTAATTGAAAATTGCATATTTTAACTTTGTATATGATGGCCTTCCTATGAATCACCAAATTACTATGATTTTTAAAATGATTTATTCTCCTGGGTGAAGTACAGCTATTTCTAGAGTACTAAAACAACAATAGTGAGAGAATGAAAAAAATTACCTTTCTTTTCTTGGTTTCCGTTTTTCGTCTTGTATTGATTTCTAAGAAAATACAAAGTAATTAAAAAAATACTAACAGGAAAGCTTATGCAAAGATACAATTCATCAATATGTTCGGTAGGAGACCGTTGTGTATTTTTTGTTGAAAGAAAATATAGAGAATCTAATTTGCTGAGCAAGTGCCCCAGAAAAATCTCTTTTCAGAATCTCTGAGACTGAGAATGGGGTTAGCATTGTAAATCCCACTGTAACTCCCAAATTTCAGTTGCCATACTGTGAAAAAAAGCTAAAGTAATTACAATCAGAACAAAGAAGATATAAAACTTTCAAGTATCTATAGTCGTTTTAATGAAGTTGACAACACTAGCTCACTGAGGCAAATTTACGGTGATGCCATGAGAATTTCCATGAATACAGACAATGCAATGGGAACAGGCATAATCCTATTCTCATTAATGTCAATGCAGTCTTGTCACAGGTTTTAGTAGAATAAAATGGACAAAGACCCATTTAAAAAGCAGTATACAAGGTGGCAAAAGCACCTTTAAGACAGAAGACATCTAGAAATGCAGAGAAGATTCACAGCAAATGTGAATTATTTCTTATCTCTAATAGACTTCTGTCCCTACAGCCAAAACAATGCTGTGTTGCAGCATCTAATGCATCACACTTCAAAAGCAATATTTTAAAGTGCAGGTAGTCTTAATTGTGTTTCTTGCAAATGAGTGAAAACTTACTAGAATTAGTGATTGTAAAGTCACTGAGAATCAGAAATCACGCTGGACTTCAGTATGCAGGCAAATGGACAAGACAATTTCAAAATGACAGTCTGATTTAAAGAAATATGTCAAAACCCCACACTTTTACTGGCTTGTATGAACAATGGGCTGTTGTCAGGCTTCATTTATACCTGTGTCCCCCTTTAGCTCATTTGATATGCAAGGAGATGAGTGAGAACAGAGGGTGTCTAATTAATATCTGTAACATGACGTGAGAGAAATAACTGGTTTTGCAGAAGATAAATTTTTTCAAAAAATACACTCATATTGTGTGCCTTCACTTTCAAGGGATCTGAGCGCAAATAATCTGTGAATACCTGCAGGTCACAGAGATTTTTAATAAGGTAGAAAATCCATGATAGCTGGGAAAACTGACTACCCTTAGGTATCTCAAGTTAGAGCTCAATGACTTACCCAAGTTCTAAGAATTTAAGAACTAGTAGGTCTCCTTTCTAAGCTTCAGTGTATAGATATTTATGCTGAACCTTTCCCTTACCAGTGAACTTAATGTTGGGAAGACAGGATTCTCTTTTTCACACCTTCTTGAAAAATACCACTAATTGAAGGTAATAATAAGACCTTGAAAAACTGCTGCTACAAATTAATTTAAAAATCCCTTGGCATTACTGCAATTTTTGTTTGCACTGATGTAAGGGCTGTTTCCTGATATGGAGCTGGTCATGTAACAGATTAGCTTTCAGAAAATACTATGTTCCTGACTGTATAGTCTTGACTTTCTAAATATGCATTTACTTCAGAATTACCCTTCTCCTCAGAACTGTCCTAATACAGAATTCAGTGTCATGCCTTTCATTTCAATCCTTTATCTCACCAATCCTACTTTCACAAAACAAACCTTATTCTTACATGTGAATTTATTTTTAAGAATATAATTTCTTTTCAGAGTATCATTGTTCAAAGCTGTGTTATTTCAAAGCCTCAATAATAAACCAGTCGTATTTGTCTTTTTTGGTATGCCAGACACAACTGTCCCTGAAGGCCCTGGTGACACCTTCTGTTGAAAGGAGAAGCAATTGCTACGGTTAGTTTATTAGCTGGGCTCTCACCGGCTGTTAAAATAGGTCACTAAGATACAGGCACCTCGAGCAAATGAGTTTAATTGCTTTTTTGTTGGAACCGCATTCTGAGCTGCTTTTACATTTTCTCTCATTCTGCTTACTTTCTTGCCTTTTTTTTCTATATTTAAGGGCACTGAAGTCGAGTGGAAAGCAGCACTTGGTATCTGAACTTGGACCAAAGGCTATATATAGAGACACTCAAATCCATTAGTCTCCTGAGCTGCTGGTATTTGCCAATTCCTTCATAATCACAATCTGACACATTTGTAAAGGAAGTTGCAGTGTGCATACTAATAAAGCCTATTTAGTATTTGCTCTCTCTGCAAGATCAAGCACTAATTTAGACACTCAGAATAGCTCTCCGAACCTGTTTCTCTCCCATGACTTACACAGAAACTACAGAGACCAGGCACTTCATTTGGGTACTGCTAGTGCAAATGCTGCTTACGCATATAACGAATGTACGTATGTTTACATACAAAAGTAAAAATTGGCCTGACCTAGGTCCCCAATCAGGGTAACTGTGAACCTCAATTTCAAGTCTAGTTTGAAATGTAATGTTTGTGGCCTGCTTCCTTTTCAGCAGGACACAGCTTTTATGCTGCATTAGAAAGGAATATAGGGAATTGGGCAATTAAAGTTTAGGTGGGAATCAGCTGGCAGTTTTAGCCCACAAAATCATGCTAAACTCACATGTATTAGAGTGTAGTAGGTGGAGTCTTCTGGATTATTTAATGTCTTGGGTTTCCGTGGCCTCCTTGGGGGTCTCTGCATTGGGCGAGAGTCTTCTACTTTGGCTGCAACTGTAAAAAAGCAGAAGATAGCAATGCTTATTTTTTCACAGAATGGGAATCTTTTGTAAAAACAGGAGAAAATTTCACCAAAGAGCAAAAAAATCCATGTAGCCACTTTTACTGCTTGCAGTAAGTTAAGAAAGCAACTGTTTGGGACGTTTGTATCACCAGACTGGAAAGGAGAATGGGTTTATCCATTTGAGTCCCAACTACCTACAGAGACACATGCCACATAATGAATGTCAGGCTGGAATAGCCCAGTAGTCTGCCTGGCACAGTCTTCTGAAAAGGGCTGATGCTCCACATTCAGAAAAGGGCCCTGAAGGGTTAATGGCTACTGGAAGGCTACCATCTCATAACAGGGACCTGGGCAGTGGCGATGATATTTTTTTCAGACTCAAGTCAATCATTAAGGTGCTGAATGAGAGGACTAGCATTAGACCTCTGATTCAGAGGTTGGTCCTCTACATTATCATGGTGTAGATTTTCCTCAGGATCTCCTGCTGAGGCTATACAAGCAAAATCATGTACCTCAGGGCAACAGAGTGTGACCATGTCCATTGCATCCAGTATAATCTAGTTTAGTGTACTCAATTTCTGGTCTCTATTTTTACATTTTCTGCAAACATGCAAAAAAAATGCTTTCATTCTAACGGAAACAAAATGAAGATTTTAACACAAAATGGAACTGCTGTCCTCTGTCAGTCTCCAAACTCAAGACTTAGAAAATGATTTGTGAAATACAGTGGCTGGCACATGGGGAACTAGAAAAATGTCTTGGATATTTGCGTGTTAAAAATCTAAATGCAATTCTGACAGTGCTAGGATATAGGGCTGCTAGCAGTTAGTAGACTGTCATAGAGTCAACACAGAGTGCAAGGTTTAATGCTTTATTCTTGGGAGACCACAGAACTGACTCTGGGGGGCTGAGGGACCACAAATGTGTAGCACAGTGAGCATAATCACCTTCCATTTAAGTTAACAGGGGGCTACGCCAATTCCTCCATGAAGAAGGAGGAGACCGTTGCCCAGCAGCAAAACACCGATGACAGAGATGGGTAATAGGGATACATACAGGGTGATGAATGAAGTCACAGCACAAAGTTTAGGCACAGTGAGCTACATGTCCAGGTATACTGCATTATCCAGTGAGGTATTATATTGTCCTTGTCCCATCACAGAAGTATTCAGGGGACAGACCATGAGAGAAAACATCATATAAATGAATATAGTGTGAGGGTGGAATGAGGATCTAGCTCCCAATGAATTACTGAAGTGTGTTCTGCTGATCTGATTCTTTTTCACACAAAATTACTTTAATTCCATAACCCAGATATGCTAACTACATGTGATTGACTCTTAGAAGGAGGAATGTATGTTGTTCTCTAATGACCATCAGAAATCCTTTTACATGATAAAAACTCTCCCATGTATGTCAGACATCTTTTTAATTAAGGAGGTAGCACAATCATTTAAAATGAGAAATGATCAGTAATACATCTGTGTTGACTCCTGCAAAATTAGCTGTTCAAGTTTTTTGTTATGTGTGATAAATAAAGGCTTGTAAAGGTCATGGCTATACAGAGGAGCCAAAACAAATAATGTTAATTTAAACTGTAGTTGGATAATGATTACATTTATTGTTTTAGTTTCTTATCTGAAATGCAGATTGCTTCTCATGTAATGAATGAACAAGTATCTTAACATTTTAACATTTTGCACTTAAGAGAACAAAGGTGTTTTTCTAAGCCAGGGTACAGATAATTCATGTTAAACAATGAACTTTATATTTAATAAATTCATGTCAGTAACCTGTATTAAATATAAATTACATTATTTGATTTGAATAGGTATAGCATGCTTGATTGTGCTCTTATGTGGGCTGCTGTTACCTTGCTGCATTTCAAATGGGCCACCTGGAGTTATCCAAATTTCCATTTGCGGAAGAGTAGAGGCATATCTTCCCTATTTTACTTTTCAACACAACAGGAACCTAAACTAGAAACAATACCTTAAACAGAACCCTTAAAATTCAGTGTAGTTGAATAGAAATCTGTAGGGCATTTTCAAAAACTGTGTCAAAGATCATGACTACATGAAAATCTGGAAAAGGAAAATGAAGCCAAACTGGGAGCTTTAGGAAAATCCCAAGGAAAAGGCTGTCATAATAGCTAAAGATTTTTTATTGTCCCCTAAGAATTCATCGCTATGTATGCTGTTACATTATTTAATTCATCACTGTCAAACACATAAAGCATTATCATATTCTAGATTACAATTATTCCAACTGAAATTACTTGTATACTTCTTGTGTATGTGCTCTGCAAAGAAGACTCTTCTCACATTCAAAACCCATCATTTTGACAATGGTAAGGGTTTCAGTAAAAAGCAGCTTTTCATCTCAGCTCGTGCATTGTACATAGGTATGAGCTATGCAAAAGAACTGAGGGAACAGAAATACCATGTTGGGGCAGGCAGCCTTCTAAGCTTGGACCTTCATCGTTCTTTTTTAAAATTACATAGAGGGATGAAAATGCAATTCTGAGTTTTGTCTCCAAATTACACAGTAAGTAAAAAATAGTTTTATGGGTTTCATTTTCTTTGTTTCACCAGCAAGCGAACCTATGATTTCCTTATGCACTTAGATTTGCGCGTTCATTGCTACTGAAATACAGCTGATGTAGTAGTTGCTTGTATTGGATAACTCACTGCACCAAGTAAAATTTGTTTTTTTATTAGTTGCTGATAATTCCAGAAATCATTTATTTAGTAGAATTAAAGGTAGAAGGCAAATTAAATACCCAAGCCTGATAAATGGTGAGTTTGATGTGCTTGTTTTCCAGATGGCCTATACCTTTCTGCAGTAAGCAATGAAGCAAAAGGAGAAGTAAAATAATTCACTTATTAATGGGCCAATTATGTTGCTGCTGGAGTCCATTACAAAGAAAAGGTTTTTACTGAAGCCCAGTCTCTCCATAGTAAAACATGTTATAGTCTATTTTAACTTAAGACTTCAACTATCTCTAAGAAGATCTGGCCTGATTTCTATCTAGCAAACATTCTAATAGTATGTTACAACATCGATATGAAACCCATTCAAAACAGTAAGTGTCAAAGCACTTTAGAAATGTCAGGTTGGCACTGTCATTCCTATCCTACTAGCAGGGTAAATAAGATGTGCAAAGCAAGACACACCAAGACTTGCTTAAGGTTACATCCCAGTTAGTCATCAACACAGCTAAGGGGCTGGACTGAAGGACTGTGCTCTGCAGCCAGCCCCTGCCCTGCAGTTGTACCTACCTGAACAGATGCTGCCAGTGCTGCGACACATGCCTTAGAAGCAATGCATAGGAGAAACGAAACAAAAACATTTGATGCTACACAGACATTCCTTTCTAAAGGTTTTACCAAGAGGAAGACAGGTTGAACAACAAGTTGAAAGGAAGGATTTTCCTCAACTGCCCCAGTGCATGCAGTCAGTACTCAGTTAAAAGAAAGCGGTTTTGCTTTCATGACCTGGATGCTTTGCTTTTGAACCTCAGCAGCAAATGTCAGCCATGCTGAAACCCGTGCCAAGAAAGTTAAATCTCTCTCCTGCCCAAACCTGAAGCAGACCTGAAGTAGACTGTCAAAACATACATTTGATCAAGTGATGATGAAAAGTTTAATAAAAGTTAAGGTCATTCTCCATGAGAATGAATGAATTACAGAGTTAAAGGTCAGCGAAGGCATGTGAATAGTGTGTCTGCCAGGTAACGTTAAAGAAGGTTTACCAAATGTAAGGAAAATTCCTTATTCCTATCAGTATCTCAGTAAGCTCATTTAAGATTACCGTAAAGGTTCCTACCTAAGTTGCTGTCCCAGTTTTAGTTGGAATTGAATTAATTATTCCTTTTTAGTAGCTGGTACCATGTGTTTTGGACTTAGTGTGGGAATAATGCTGATAACACACTGACATTTTAGTTGTCGCTAAGTAGCACTATCATCAGTTAAGCATTTTTTCAGTTTTCCATGCTCTGCCAGCGAGCCGGTATACAAGAAGCTGGGAGGGAACCTAGCTGCCAGGGCAGCTGACCAAGCTAGCCAAAGGGATAGTCAATACCACAGAATGTCAAGATCAGTATATAAACTAGGGGGATTGCTGCTTAAGGACTGTCCAGTTATTGGTTAGCGGGTGGTGAACAACTGCATTGTGCATCACTTTTTTTCCACTTTTATTTCTCTCTTTTTGTAATATACCTTTTCACTACTATCACTATTATTATTATTATTATTTAAATTATTATTTATTATTTTTATTGTGGATGTATTTTGGTTTATTTTAGTTATTAAACTGTCCTTATCTCAACCCAGAAGTTTTACTTCTTTTTCCAACTCTTCCTCCCCATCCCACTGGGTGGGAGGAGTAAGCAAGCAGATGCATGGTGTTTAGTTCCCAGCTGGGCCTAAATCATGACAGCTGCATGCACACCTTTTGACTCTATGGTGTTCAGTTACAAGGTATAACTACTTGCATACTCAGCCCTCACTGAAAGCTCCAAATACACTGAAAAAATAAGGGAAGGGACAATGACATTTAGGACCAACTCATTTAATATATGTGTATCATGAACACCACCACAAAGGCCTGTGCTTGAAACATCCAAGTATGAGCAAGATATGCTTGAATAAAGATGAGTCAGTATCAACAGCCCTTTTGGTTGAACTGTGTCTGCACATTCTGACATACAGTGATAAGCTTGGAAGACAACAATCTCAAGGAATCAACATCCATGGATGCTAATGTAAATTAATGTATGACTTACAACAGATCTTATACTGAAAACTGGAGAAATAGTGTGGTTACAGTTGTGATAAGCATCTAAGTGGCATCTAAGTGATGAAAGGTCTCTATTTATTGGGTCACCTGGAGAAACAGATAAACCTGTCTTCAGGTCATTTTAGTGAAATGTTACATGTTTGATTCAGCGCTGTATCGTACAGGGACAGAAGTATAAAGCCAGGCTCAG